GGAAATTCCCGACCGCCGAGGCTTCGTGACGTCACACCGCCGCCGGCACTGGCCGGGCCGTCTCGCGAGCGCCCGATCCCACGTGTCACAGGCCAGCGTTGAGCCGCCGTCAGACAGTCTCCCTCACGGTCGGGCGCGATGCGGGCGTGCGCTGTGCTGCTCTGCGGCCTGTCCGTGGTGTAGGGCGGAGACTGGGGGCACCCGTGTCAGGAGCCGCTGAAGGTTGGACCGTGCGGGGCTCTGGTGAATAGCTATTACTTCTTTGCCGCGGTGGGCACGTGCCTGCCATTCTTCTGGGGCGGCTGCCAGGCGAACGGCAACAATTTCAAAACAATATCACAATGCAGTGCTCAGTGCTGCGGCGGCGGCTGTGGGAGGCCGAGCTTCTGCTCGCTGCCGGCAGACGTTGGTCCCTGCGAGGCCCTCATCCCCAGCTACTACTTCGACGGGAAAAGCTACCGCAAGTTCGATTACGGTGGATGCGGAGGCAACAAGAACTGCTTCGATAACATAAAGCAGTGCAAGAAAGTTTGCAGGTCGCATCGCTGAGCGTCTGGCGGGAGGCCTGCCATCTGACGGTGACCAGCCACAACAATCGTCGCCCATGTCAGAGCCCAGTGCAGGATCCGAAGAGATCTTCCCCGTCAGTGACCCGGTCGGACTGTCAAATAACGTTACGCGTCAAGCTGCATGCTTTCTTAAACTTTTTTGTTATTGCGAACGTAAACAGTTGTTGACAGAATGTACCTCTTCGGCTTGGCCGGCTCTATCACATTTCAAGCATTATATTTTGCACCGTCAAAAACTCCAGTACTTAGCTCTGTACTGAATGAGCAAACACACCTTGAGGGTTCATAACTACGTTTGATAACTTTGTTTATAAAATACCGAGGTGAGCACGATGGATGATCAGGTGACAATGGATGGTCATGGTTCCATTCACAGCATGCAAGCACCTATTCCTGCATCACCATGTAAATTCCTGTTCTTCGCTCTTCACCCGACGCTTCACCCTGAAGTCCCGCAGCGTCCCGTCCCTTCGGACCAAGCTACGGTCAGCAGCCTGAGCCGGTTTGAGTGCCTCCCTGGCCTGAGGTCCGCCCGTGTCGGCAGTCTCGGCAGCGGACGTTTCCCAAATGGGGCATTCATGAATCTCCGCGCCTCTCTCCAAGCCTTGTAGCCCTTCTAGATCTATGAGAGCTACGAAAGGTAGGGTTTACTCCACGTGGGAAGATATGTGCTAGCTGTCCGGCATCAGAACCTGTTGCCTGTATGTGGCTTTATGTAGTGGGGTGGAGTTATCGAGATGGATGCGCTTCCCCATCGTCACTGTTAAGGTGCGTTGCATGCTACGAAATCACCTGCTCCAATTCCCATTATCCTGCGCCTCCGGGCGTGTTCTTAACACACACAGGGAGTGCATCTGTACTTTCGTTATTGCACCAATCCTGTTGAGCACAACACATATCATGCTGCGCACAGCAATGCCCGCAGATCAATAACTGCGGCACTCACGACGATCACCAGCGGCGCATTGTCGACACTCAGCGTCACGCGCCACCACGCACCGGCCGCGCGTGCCTCTCTGAGAACAATCACAGGCGGTCGGCAATACGTCCCCTGCCGGGAGCGTCGGTTGGGCCAGACCCAGCCCCACCTCGCCCGACGGGCAGGCTGGCAGCCGGACAAAGGTCGCGCCCGCCGGTCCGCGCGCCCCGCCAGTCCGCTGACGGACGTCTGTGACGCCTGTGACGAGTGCCACAGGCGCCGCCAGGCCGGGGCCGCGCTCCGGTGGGGCGGGCGCCACCTCGAAGATGACGTGACGCAGGGAGGTACGTCGCCACACAGCAGCTCGGACTATGGGCTAGTGTTCGCTGTCCAGCCATATCTCGCCTGTACACGGGAGAGCGTAGCAGCAGCGACGACACTCCGCTGGTGGACACTGGCATGGACAGTCGCGCTTCCACAGAGACACCAGTGGCGTTCCAGCACGTCACGCGTCACAACAGCGAGCTCTCGCTTAGCAAGACAGCCAGCCGCTGACCGTGATAATGCCTAATGACCGACGTAACATTTCGCTGAAAAACGCTGGGATGCCCACATGTCATGCGAGGGGATCAGCCCGTCAGAACGTCGATAAAACCGCGTGCACGTCAATGCACGTCTCCTTCCGCCGGTTGATGACGGCAAGTCTCCGTCCACTGTGTGATGACATCATGTCTCCGTCCGCCGGTTGACGACGTCACGTCTCGGTCCGCTGACTGATGACGTCTGTGACGACGGAGGCGGCCATGTCGGCGGCGGTGACGTCGCGCCGCAGCAGCTGGGAGACGATCCGATGAGCGGGCACGCCGCCGCCGTGCGCCAGACACTCGCGCCGGTACCGTTCGCCCATCGCCCTGCCGGCCGAGCGGGGGCGTCAGGCGGTGCGGCGCGCCCGGGGCAGGCCGGCGCCAGCCTTGCTGAGCCGGCGCGGACGGCACACGGACAGGACGGACCTGTGCTAACGAGTGGCCGGGCGAAACGTGCATGGTCGGCACATCGCGGACGGCACGCCCAAACGTGGCAGAAGCCCGTCAGTTGTGTGACCGACGGGTCCGAACCGATCCCAATTTACTCCGGGATCACGGAGTCATGTCTAACTTAAGGCGCAGTACCCCACGGACTCGAACACAAGACATCCCAACGCACACGAACACATCTCATCCCGGTTTGCTTTCTCCTCGCCAGTCTTCACCACTTGCTTCCAAATGGCATCCTCGCAATGGGGTATACCAGCAATGAGAGACCATGCCAATTTTAAGGTGCCCTGACCCAGACACGACACATAACCTCACACTCCACTGAGCACTGCTAACAGCAACGTCAAAAGTCACTGCATCGTACGCCGCTTCACAGAGCGTCAGCAATTACGGCCGCCACTGCGACTGTCACCTTACCGCCCGCGGGACCAAAACGCCACCTCAGTCCAACCACTCGACACAATCAGCCGCAATGATCACGCCCCTTCGGCCGAGCTCCCGACCTTGACCCACGCCCTGACCCGCGCCCAGCCCACGCCTCACCGGTCGAATGGGTCGACGGCGAACAGGTCGCGCCAGATAGCCGAGGCGACGGCGCGCGCCATCAAGTACGAGTAGTAGCGCGCGCCGTAGCCCACCAGGTGGCCGAAGCGCAGCTGCCAGCCCGTGCCGGGCACGTGCGGCAGGCCGTAGTAGGAGTTCTGCACGTGGGCCAGCACGTCCGTGGTGCTGCCCTCCAGAGACGCGGGGCCATGGTAGTGCTGGTCCAGCGCCGAGTAGAACAGCTGCCGTTCGAGGTACGGCGGTTAGGGACGGGGACGCCGGGAAAGCCCGAGGCAGCGTGAGGTCAGACGGCGGGCGACGACACCGAATGAGGGAAGCCGCATTGGGACATCAACTCCACGAGCACTTCAGCTGATTGGTTGATTACTGTAGCCCTCGAGGTCATGGGCACAAACGCGCTGCTGTGGTCACACGCACACACCACGGGCGAGAACCCAGTGAGCACGACAGCGCTGCACAACACCAGCTGAATGGTTGGGATGCACACAGGAGACGGCTCGCTCCTCCGATACGCCGGCGGCCGAAGGCCAAGCTGCCGGCCGCCGGAGACGTACCTGCAGCTGGGTGTCGGCAGCCGGAAAGGCGGCCCGGCCGGCGCACAGCCGGCGCAGCGCCTCCGGCGGCGGTGGCTCGCCGCTCCGGTAGTGGCGCGCGAACGACGCCAGCACGCGCTCGTCGCCGGCGAAATACTCCATCAGCACGGAGGGCACCTCGGCGAAGTCGGTGCTGCACCGCGTGCCGGTCACGTGCTGGTAGCGCGTGCGCGCCAGCATCGAGTGCAGCGCGTGGCCCATCTCGTGGAAGAGGTTCTCCAGCTGGCCGTGCGTCAGCAGGCAGGGCCGCGACCAGCCGGGCGGCGGCAGGCTCAGCATCAGCACCACAACCGGGCTCTGCGGGCAGCGAGCGGCGGCCTTAGCGGGCGGCCCGCCGGGCCACGCGCGCACCGGCGGACGGAGCCGACACCGGCGCCGGCGCCGGGCTAGGCCAAGCGTCAATCAGCACTGACACCGGACCGCAGATTGAGCATGTGACATGCGGCGAGCGAGCATGGTGGGGAATGTGGCTCCACAGTGGAACAAACGACAGAAAATAGTTCACAAGTTGGTAAGCCACCTAGCCAGTTCACTGACATCGCGGGCCGGGCTTGTATTTCACATCCCGCTGCGCCGGCCCCCGCAGCCACAACACGTGACGCCTGTGTTGGAGTTTGTCGTGCGCAGACGCCCTCAGGGTCCGTCAACAGTCACCGGTCCGGGGCCTCCCGTACCTGGTACGTGCCATCCGGCAGGTCTCTGCCGCCGCGGATGGTGAAGTGACAGTCCTGGCTGGGCTTGTTGGCGCGCGTATAGAAGTCGCAGTAGATGTAGCCCAGCAGCCCCTCCTCCTCGTGCACCACTGGCGGCGGGGCAGACTGGGTCAGGCTAGGGTCGTTCCCGCGTCGGTAACTGCGCCGCGGTCCTTGACTGAGTGTCACAGGCCAAGCTGTGACCACGTAAACAACCCTATCCTGATGTGGCCACGACACAACACCGACCTACGCGCTCGTAAGCCGCCCGCGTCACGTCAGCGGTACGCATGGGTCACCTCAGCCGCCCTGCACGTGTCGAGCGGTCGGCGGTGACCCCGCGTGACCCGCCGCCACTCACCGGCCACCTTCTGGACGTCGGGGAACACACCTCGCCAAGCGGCCGGCGGTGACCCCGCGTGACCCGCCGCCACTCACCCGCCACCTTCTGGACGTCGGGGAACACACCTCGCCAAGCGGTCGGCGGTGACCCCGCGTGACCCGCCGCCACTCACCGGCCACCTTCTGTACATCGGGGGACCAGAGCTCGCCGGGCCGCGGCGTCTCCACCTCCAGGCTGACGCCGTACAGCCGGCCCAGCAGCTGGCTCAGGCCGCGCATACAGGCGCCCACCGAGAAGTACTCGGCCAAGCGGACGTCCTGCTCGTGCTGACGCTGGCGCCGCGCCATGTGCGCCAGGTACGGCACGTCCCAGACCGCCAGCGGCTGAACAGGGGCCGTCGTGTCAGCGGTGAGCCAGTGAGGCAAGCGGCGCCAAGGTGGGAGTAAGTGGAACTGTTGTGAGCGGAGGAGTGACACTCGGAAGGTAAGGAACTTGCCGGGAAATAAATGGACACGGTGACAGTAAAAATGACGAATGTAGACATCACTGTGACAAGGCGATGACACCAGTACAGTCAGACGTAACGGGATAACTTATGTATACAAGACAGTGATTTCTTGCCTTAATCCCGTGCTCGACAACTGACAGTTTACTTAAGAGTCGGCAGCAGCACTCATCCCAAGCAAACATCACGGCACACCCAACGGCCCGCCACAAAGCACACGAGCTCTCCTACCCGTGAGCCGGTAGCCCGCTTCATCCTGGCCAGAGTCTCGAAGTCGCGCTCCGCCTCGAGCGCCAGGTCGTCCCGCAGCCGGTCCAGGAAGGCGGCCACCGTGTCCGGCGAGCGGGCCAGGCTGCCGCGCAGTGCCCTGTCCGCGCGGGCAAGGCCCGCTCAGTGCGGGACATACGCGGACACGTGACGAGCGGCCGGTGATGTCAGCATTCCGCGCCCGGCGCCGCCACTAGCCATAATATGGCTACCGGACTCAAACACGCTTCAACTGCGCTGGCATGGGGCGGTACTGCCACTGTAGCTACTGCCTACTGTAGCTCTCGTTTTTTCGGGAGGGGGGGGGGGGTCATCAGTATACCGCAATATCCTTTCAGAACGATTACGAGAGACAGAACAGTTGGGAGAAGAAAAACTCGGCAAAGTAGGTGCAGGGTGTTCCGCATGGAAACATGGGTGGCAGTAGAGTTAACATTCCACAACATATATGCATAATACACAGTTACGTGGACTGGCTGCCCCTTCCACCCCATCCCATACGTCTCGCCACCTAGCGAGTCCCAGCCCCGTACACTCGTCCTTTTTCGCCTCATCGCCCCGTCTCCCCGCCTCGCCTGCGGCCAGAGCCGGCCGGCGCCCTGTCAGCCCGCCGCCGCCGCCTGGGCGCGCCTCACCTGTGCGCGAACGACGGGAAGCCGCAGAGGGCGGCGAGCGCACGCCGCGTCTCCAGCAGCGAGGAGAGCAGCGCCTCCTGGCGCAGCACCGGCTGCATGTAGGCCCGGTAGGCGGCCTCGCGGGTCAGCTCCAGCGGCGAGTCCGCCATCAGACCGCTGACCGTCACGCTGTCGCCGTTCAGGGTCAGCCTGCCGCGGCGGGGCGCCGGCGGTCGGCGGTCAGAGGTGCGGCAGAGGCCGGCGCGGGGTGAGAACCTGGCTGGGCGGAGGGGAGGGGGGGGGGGGGGGGGGGCTCGCCGCCATCGCCGCGGCTGTCGTCACGGACACAGCCCGAGAATGCTCGGCGCTGCAGCGCTCAGATGTCAGGTCACGGGGTCACCGGCCGGCGCTCGAGGATCACGCGTTAGCAGGCGGGAGAACGTCGGCAGTCGGGTCCGGCCCGCGGTCAGACACATCACGTGACCATGCCCAGGACAGTACGTACAAAAATCTGACACAGTAAAGAAGAAGTGCGAAATTAGACTCAAATCGCTTGCTGCTTTTTCTCCACGGCAAGTACTCACTGGTGGGAGAGATGCTCAGGAAGATCCCGTTTCTTCACGGTCGACGGTGCGTGAGTGCCAGCCAAGAACGTCTGCCCTACCTGAAACGGAGAGCAAGGCGCGGAGACTAATGTGATGATTGTAATAAACTGCGTCTGGGTACCTAGCCGGTGATCAGAAGGCGGGAATGAAACGGTAATTGCACATGCGAAAGGCAGTCAGTGGTCTTGATTTCAGTAGCCTATTTCCATAAAAATTGTACGCATTTGCGTGCGGAGTGGGGTGATTTATCGCACTCCCTATGAATCCAGCAAACCGCTTTCATCAAACCAATTCTTAGCTCAATCACTATGCCTCTCACTACAAAACACCAATCTTCCACTAAGTTAAAACTACAATGAGAAATGTGCACTGAAACAAGTTCGATTGTTCAGCCGGACGCAATCGGACGTTCAACGTGAGCTAAAACTTCCATGAAATTTAGTGAGTTTTCACTTCAGTTATCATCACGGAGGCGACGGAAATCCGGCCGTACTATACCAACCTGGAGACAACATTTGGAAACGCTATATGACATGAATACGTCCAAAATATAAGTGCCGGAAGGTACAGAAGGACGACTGGGCTAATGGCCTGTCCCCAAGCCAACCTGGGTAGCAGTCCGCCACGTGACACTGCTGGGACAGTGACACTCAACGTACCCGAATGTCACCCAGCGGTAAACCAAACCCCAATCCTAATTCCAATCCCAGTCCCAGCCCCAAACGGTCATTGATTTCCACTGGACGAAAGGTCCCGATGACGCAACTCCTGGCGTAATCGGAGGCACGCAAGACACATCGCGGTGCTCATGCACTAATCACACCACTTCTTCCTCGCGCCCGCGCTAAAGCTTTGCGCACAGCCCATCGCGCGCCCGAGGCAAGCCAAGTTCGTTCTGTCATCGCATGGCTGCACAATCGCACACGTCATTGGCCGATGAAGATTTTTGTGGGCACGGCGCCTGCCCGATCACCACAGCACACAAGCGGCAGAGATCTGACGAGCCCGGCTCCAGCGGCGCGGCCGGCCGCGGCGCTCCGCACCTGCAGCGCCAGGTCGGTCATCTGCACCACCCGCTCCCGGCTGGCCTCGTCCAGATGGATCCCCGACTGCTCGAAGTCGTGCAGGTAGAGGCGTGCCACGTGCTCGTCGATGCCGTCCGTGGCCACCTGATCGCCGGCCGACACGCACCGTTCCAGCGCCGCGTACAGCGGCTGCAGCGTGTTCATTCTGGCGGGCACGTGGCGCGCGTCACAGCGAGCATCAGGCGGCCGCGGCAGGCGCAGGGCGCGGGTGAGTGGTGGCGTCTCAATGTCTCCATTTGCGCTGGCTTGCATGCACGCATCAGCTGCGCGTCTGGCTAACCAGAAGAACGGGCTTGATTTTCCGTAATGACCGTCTTCCTTGTCAGTGTGGGAGGCAAGCAATGTCATACTGCCTTTACAGCTGAGCACGATGTAAAGTCCAAATGACAGCACATACATCAACTGTACAGTTGATTTTTACAAAACACCTATAATCCTCCAGCTTTGACCTCCTGGGGCCCATTCAGGATGTTGCAGACTACTAAGCTGAGCCAGTGTACATGGCACGCAAAAATAATAGACGCAACCGCACGCAGCCCAGGCCCAAATTTCAGCTGCCCCTCATCCTTCACAGGTGTCTGGGTAACACTGGAAACCAGGGCGGTTCCCTGTCCCAATCTCCCAGCGCTCATCCAGGGTTAGACTCCTACATGGCGCTTCCAATGAACTGGGCATCACACACTTTGCGGGAGGAGACCACGGGGCCGGATTCACACCAACGGTCCATCTGCCCTTCACGCCATACGGCCACAGTGATGGGAGCCACGTCGTCCCGGGCAACGGGCGTGCTCACTGTTCGACCAGGTTGCTGATGGTGATGCAGGCGTCGGTGGCCGAGCTCTGGAAGGCGGTGTCCGGGTGCGCGAGCCGCACGAACTCGGCCAGATCCGCCACCTTGCAGAGCGCGTCTGACAGCTCGTCGAACACCAGCACCATCTTGCGGCGGCGGTGCGCACTGCACGCCTCGTCGACCAGGCGGCGGCAGGCGGTGACGGCCTCCTCTCGTAACACGGTGAACCCAGCCGCGCTCGTCAGCTCTGGGTAGCCAAACAGGCCCTGCAACGGCGGGTGGAAGTCGGGCTCAGAGCCAAGCAGGTGGGCACAAAGCCAGGCCTGTGGGCTCCAAACAGGGACAGCATCAAGCAGAGTTCAAAGCCAGAGGTCTGGGCTCCGAGTGGGGACAGCATCAGGCAGGGCTGGCCAGTGGGTTCAGAGCAGGGATGGCATCAGGCAGGGCTCAGAGTCAGAAGTCTGGGCCCAGAGGTAGACTGGTGGGCTCAGAGCAGGAACAGTGTCAGGCAGGGTTCAGAGCCAAAGAATTGGGCTCAAAGTTAGGCCAGAGGGCTCAGAGTGGGACAGCATTTCACAGAGCTCAGAGCCAGAAAACTGGGCTCTAAGCTGGGCTGGTGGGCTTTGAGCAGAGACAGTGTCAGGCAGCACTCAGAACCAGAGAATTGGGCTCAAAGCTAGGCCAGTGGGCTCAGAGCAGGGACAATGTTGGGCAGTGTTGGAAAACTTGACGTTTCCTGGTATAATGCATACCAGGAGATTTTGTACTCCAGGATTGTGACTAGGTAAAATGAAATATTTTGTACTCCATCATGATGCAACAAGAACCACTTTTGGAAAAACTCATTTTACCCCTTTGTGTCCGGACAAAACAAAACCAGAACAAGCAACAGCTTGAGACTTGCTGCTTCCATCAGGGGCCATGTATTGATATCTGCAAGAGCACAAATCTTGCACCCACCAGACTAAGATGCCCAATAGCAAGCAGCCTGTGCTGCCACCTAGGGGCCATGTATTGATAAAGCATGTGAGTGTTGAATGGAATCACCTTTGAACAATACTGGGCAATGAGAAACTCGTACCAGAATCACACCGGTTGGTAGATTAGCAAAGCTCTCACTTCCTATGCCCTATGCATACCAACTCAAACTTGAACGTGATTTTACCCACCATTGACGACGAACCGCATGAACTGCCAAGGGCGCAATGAACGTTCATAGAAAACCGCACGCCCAATCACCTAACGCAGACGGCCGCCTACCCACGCGCCACCACTGTGTCATGGCAATGCAAATAAGGGAATCACTCGCAATTCAGCGTCGGAAACGTCTGAACTATTCAGCGGTTTGCGCCCGCCTCCCAGCTCCGGTTGGAGGTTGAACAATGCAAAACTCTCCAATTGATTTTAATGATCCGCTTCCTCATGACGGACTTGTCAAGATCATAAATATTCTACTCGCGCTCATGCCTTGAACAGATTTGTAAACATTTGGAGGGAAGCTGTATAGAGATGGGCATCACGATTATGAAGAAGGGCTTATTTGTACCTATCCAGAACCGCCATGTGGTTGGATTTTTGGCCACTTCCTGGTATGCGGAATACAAAAATGTTCCGGCAGCTGTGAATTTAAACCAAGTTAAATTTGTCACTTTAGGGTGCGGAATTAAGGCTGGTAATTCAGTCTTTACAAAAATACCCTCTTAAGTCAAAAAACGTTGCTATAAATAGTCAAAAAACCGTTCGGAGACAGCTATCTCACTCTGAAAAAACACCAGGACACCAGAGTAACATGAACCCATAACTTTGGCCCAGCAAGTTAAGGAGAGGGGTGTATCAGGACAAAACATCAATTAATTGCAACATATATTATCATATTTCGCAATGATATCGGTTAAAGCATGTCAAAACCCATAAATACCTTGCATTATCCACCGGAGTCAGAGGAGTGCCTGACTCCGATCCATTTTGGCCGGCCTGCATGGGTCTGTCAGGCATTGTACTTGTGCTGGCTGGGTAAATCGGTTAACAGTGCTGCCTGTCTCGATTGTTAGGGTGGGACGTGCAGGGCTTCATGTGTTCACCAGGAGTGGGAAGGTGGAGGGCATGAATGTTTAGCCATTTTTAAAACCAGTTAGCTGGTGGAGCATGAGTAGGGTGACCGTGGTGGAGCGTGAGTAGAGTGATCATGATGAAGCATGAGTAGGTGGCCATCTGTGACATGTTCAATTGCATTTTTTGTTTATCACTTTTGCCTAGCTGTGCATATCATACCCACCCTCCATTTTGGAGAGTGTATAAGCCCGGTGTGTAGCCACCCTCCATTTTGGAGAGTGTATAAGCCTGATGTATAATAACCCCAGTTTTGGAGGGTGTATACACAGAGCCTTTCATAAATTGCAAACCAATGTATCTGCACATGTGTTTCATAGTTCAGAGTTGTTTCAGTGTTTCAGAGTTTTAAGGACTATGAAACAACTCTGTTTTACAGAGTTGTTTCATAGTCCTGTGTTGTTTTAGTGTGTCATGTTTAATATTGATGTTTTCTTTCATTTAGTGCTTTTAGTGAGTGCTTTTGTGTGCTTTTACCTGAATTGCAGTACATGAAAAATGACACTTTTGTTGAGTGCCACCCATTGCACTATTATATCTCAAAGATAACCTACATAAGGCTGTAATGACCCACAGCACTCAGATAATTTTGTGCTCCACTAAAGAAAACTTGTACTCTGCTACCAGGAAATTTCTTTGAATTTCTAACACTGATGTTGGCTGGAGCTGGCCTGTGAGCTCCGCGCAGGGACAGCATCACGCCAGACCTAGGGCCGGACACACTGAAGGAGGGATTGGTTCAGGGGCAGCCCCTGTATCTGTGTGATGGAAGTGAGAGATCTTGTGGCAAATCTTGGACATACCTCATTTTCCTTCCACCATCCCAGGTCAATTTTGGGCTGCTGCTTGGTATCAAAGGCTGCACCAAGCTTTCCAAGGGAAGAAGTGGACAGGCATCTCAGCCATTTGCTGCTGACCCTGGCAAAATATGGCCACCTCTGACATTGCCTTCCTGCTGAGGCCATACCAAACAATAACTTCATCTTCGGGTTGTTCTCTGTGTTGTGCTGGAACACAAGGTACACCACTCTAACCAGTGCAGATGGTTCTTTCTCATGATAAATGTCATGTCATACAAATACCCTTAAATGCCTTTCTTTTTGCACAGCAATACAGTCCAGCAGGTTGGTAAGCCAAGGCAGGTTTTGATAAGATCTTGCTCAGGCAGAGAAGGGACACAACTTCCATTTTGGGGCAGCATATAAAAATGTGGAAAGCAAATACTGGATAAGACTATTCAGGGCATCATAGCATTGCTTATGGTTCATATGCAAAATTAATAAGATCACAGATATGACCAGTACTAACAGTAAACCATGCTACTGATTTTTGAAATACAAAATTAAATTGCATACTAGATTAAAATGTTGCATACCATTTTAAACATTTGGTGCACGACCCACCCCAAATTTTTAGTGAAATTACGAGACCTACACCAGCGAAACAGAAACTGCATCCTTCTTCTTCTGCATTTGGTGCGTTCTACAGAGCGCTTTTGGGATAAAAGAGCTTGACATGTTTCTCATTTCCGAAAACCCCTTTGAGAAAAGGCTAGAAAACCCAGGCCTTCAAACTATTCACACTTAACGCTACCAACCTTACCTACTCCACATTGGGGTGCATTTGATGTAATGGCCCAGCCTCACTCCTCATCCGTAAATGGTTGGCGTTGGCTTATTCATAATTTTGTAAGCGGCCTCAAAAACAAAACAGAGACCGTAAAGCGTAACTGGCGCAATTGTGACAGGCGTATGAGATATGTGACAGCTAAATATTTGCTTTTATTTTAACGGGCTATCTGGCGGGTGCCTTTACTAATACCAACGTCATATTTTCGAAGCATTAGGACATCAGCCACGAGAACTGGCCCATTTTTTGTGGTGAAAATCAAAGCCCTGTAATAAGCCAATCATTTTTAACTCAAATTAGTTCATATTTTGGCAAACTGCAGCCGCTGCAGCTGCCTGTGCTATGCATAACCAGAACTGCATCTCGAAATTTTTTTCCAGCAGTGTATGTTCTTGAAGCCATAACGTAATTCGATACTGCCACCTCAAAACGTAAGCAATTTAAGGGCAGCGTAATGAGCATCTTCACCGGAGGGATAGGATGAGTGGTTACTCTGAACGAATGTGTGCATGATGTGAATACATAATTTGATGTTACGTGGCAGCTAAACTTGCTTCAAAAGTAAGCCTTGGTGAATATATCTTTATAGTTGCGGCTGTGACTCTCCGTAGGCTAGCTTTGCTCCCCCAGGAGAAAAACGAACGGTGGGGTTATTGGGGTGTTCCTGTTTCTTTTCATAAAGGGCGCGATAGGCATTGTGCTTACGTTGTAGTTTCCTATTTACTGGGAGGGGGGGGGGAGGGAGTTCAGCCTCCCACGTCGGGCTCCACCCCTTAAAACTGGGATCAAAGTGGGCCGAATCTAGGAAGAAAATTGTTTTTTGCCTTATTTTGCGGGTAGGTTGGGTCATTTTTCACTGTTTGCCCCCCAAGCCATCGTGCAAAACTACACCCCAATGATGTGCAGGAGTCCAGGTATATGGCGCTGTTCGCACAATGAGCGTAAGTGCATAACGTCAAAAATAGTTGAAAAGTCTTAGAACGCGCCTTACCACCGTCCTGCGGTTGGTCCAATAACTTTCTTAGCCAAGGATATAAATCGTACTATTTAGTAGTCTCTATTCTGCTACCATGAGCGGAAAGCGAACGCAAAGCGGCTTCCAACTCATGTTCTGGGGAGTTTTGGGATATTTGGCGGTTTTGCAGCTAGAGAAGTCTGAGCACAAGGCTTAGAAAACGGATGTGTTTTAGAGGCTATCCATAAATCATGCTGCAAGTATTTTGCGGTTTTCACCCCCTCTCCCGATTACAAACGGATTACACCGATCTCCTACACGACACTACACTACTACACTACACTTACACTACACTACACTACACTACACCACACTTACACGACTCTCCTGGTTACAGGGTAAGGTCTCAAAGGGGTAACGCCCATTCAAATTCAACAATTCGTGCAAAAAAAAGATGAGCGTGCTGCTTATCATTGGAGAAAGCTTATAGCACCCGGCCGGGGAGCTTTAAAACATTAAAAAACTATTCCAGCACAATTTCTAGCCACAGCTGGTTATGCCTTCCAAGCTTATTTCATTCTTCTTATGCTTCTGTTTCGCTTCATTGAGACGAAACGGCTATTTCATTAAACTGGCCGTTATATCTGAAAATCGCACTAACAAACGCCAGATGTGAACGACTCATCAGTTGCATTTTTCTCGGACTTGATCGCCGCATGTATAACAGAATAGCGGAATTTACATTATTACATTACGGCATAAATAATTTACATTACGGGTTACTATGATGCCATGGATGCCTAGGTGATCTTGAAATAGTCTCCCCGACATAGTTTGCACATCCTCGCGGGTGTGTAGCTTGCAATCTAGAGGAGTTTAGGTCTCTAGGAAAGCAGGGCTGCAAACTGCACTGAATGGTCCCCAAGATGCTATTTCAGTTCAAGACCCATGCAAATGTATGGCACTCCCTTTCAGAAAGTGGCGTCTGCGAACGTGTCATCTGTAAAGCACTTCGCCAACCGCAGGCGCCGTTGCACCCGACACCGAGGGTTGATTGGTTCAGTGTCAGTAATTGGAGGGGTATCAGCTACGGCGGCACTCGGGCCGAGGCCGGCCGCCAGGCGCTAGGGAATACCATATCAAGTATCCCAGATACCGCGGCCAGGCTATACCGAAGGCGCAAAAGGAGATGAACGGTCCGACTCAGGGTAGATACAAAGTGGACCGTGGAGAACGACCTTCCGGAACATTCCATTTTTTGGTCCTCATAGGGTCAGATCCAGGTCTTTGGGTAGAATCCGTGAAGGGTTTCATGGGCGGATACATCCAGTGTGTCCTGGGGAATAGCAAGCTATTATGATATGACTGTATTTGACAGTTGCGTGACTATCAAAAGAACTTCGCAGGCCGGCTTCAGAATAAATTACCAGCCGCAGCGGCGAGATGTTAACTTACGGTCTCCAATTTAAAATATATTCACTCATGCTGCCAAGGTACAGGCACGCGTGCACGATGTTGTTGTCGGTGCACTATCGACGAGCAAAATAAATAGCTAATCGACCGACAAGAGTTTTTTTTGTTGAAATCATCAGTTGACGGCGCGTTGCTTACCGCGGCCGGTCTGCGCCTGGCGTGATGGCTAGAACACGACGGCCGGGGAAATCGCACCTAGATCACCTCTACTGGCCCGGTACATGGTTGAGTCGCATTTCTGCTAGGTATTCGATATCGCTGCACTCATTATAATCACACGGAGTCCACGATCGAACATGAGCTTTCTCAGTACCAGAAATCACACACGAATTTCCATCCGCAGAATGGCATCTTAAGCAACCCAGAAAGAAGAGTGCTAGTCGAAGATGAGCACGGCTTTTGCAGCGCTTTTGCGTCCTACCCCGCTCTGTTCTGCGTCTAAGACGTTCCATAGCGATTCTGATCCAACCGCCAACACGGCCCGTTCCGTCCCATCTCGTTTATTTAGCTGGTAGGTCTCCAGATGCTCCCCAAAAGTCTCTAAAGGCTGTATTGGAAACCGAACGCGCCACATCGATAGCGGAGAACTACGGGGTATCTAGCTGGGCTGTCCCGGATTTGGGGATTTGGACCGTGGTTGGTGCGGTTCTCAGCCCTGCGATCGATGGCGAGTCGGCGGGGGAAATGCGGCGAAGGTAGTACCGCCAAGCAGTGCAGAGGAATGGTCGGGGCAACCTCTTCGCAGAATATTGACTTGTGTGGTAGAGTGCATTGAAGAAACCCAAGCTGAAGAAGATTGCCAGTGTGGAAGTGCTTGTTCTCAGGCACGCACACTGTCAGGAGGCACCGCACTGTCTGAGCTGTCGGAAATTAGTCATCAAATCGTGGAACAAGAGATGTCTTCTCCCTCTGTGGCAGCATTTGGGTCAAAATTCAAAAAGAAGCATATCCGACCGAAGCACCAGAAAGTCAAATTGTTCAGAGCAAATGAGCCCTTGCTTTCAGTTTTGATGTGGGGCGTGAACCATACAGTAAGTTACCTGCCATGATTTGTAGTTAAGTACTTTTGGTTTGTTGAATAATTCAATAATTTTATGTACAAAATCAACATGGGAGTTGTGTTGCAAACTTATAGCGATATGTTTGCGGGAGGTATTTTTCAGGCTGGAGTTTCCAGTTTCTGTATCACATGTCGGTATCTACCAACACATCAGTAATTGGCAATGTTGTAAAGAGCACAATATCACTCTTTAAATGATTCATTGACTGCACAGTTTAAATGATGCATTGACTGCACTAAATGCCTGTACAATGAATATGCCTAACCTGGTGTGTGCATTCAGTTCAAGCCAGGCCAAATTGTGCTGAGTTCAAATCATTTTCACATTAAACATGCTTGAAAAGTATTTTTTGCACACATACTTTTTGGCAGCATAGGCCATTGAAAGAACTTTGTGCATGGGCTAGAATTGTCACTGTGATCTTGCTGCTGAGCTCCACATAATTGGTGAAATGTGTATGCATTCTAATCAGGTCAGTATAGATGCCTTGCTTCATTATTATTCTTTATTTGCTTTGTAGTATGATCACTTGAAATATAGCAGTCTTTTGTCTCATCAGTTAGCATGGATCATTGGTATATGAGTGAACCCAACTTAGAATGATCATGCATTGTGTTTTTGATTCTTAAAGGCTGTGATTTCACAGCATTACATGTGTGTATGGGCTCATATGGTAGAATGGAATTGAGGCAAGTAGCTTAATATGCTACCCTCATCTTTGGGTATGTGCCTAGGACTGAAGGCTATGTAGTTGTGATTGATTGTCAGTGTAGGTTATTAGTTATGTTGGACTGCCTATTGTGGGACATTTGTTTTGCAGATAAATCAACTTACTCACATCAACATACCTGTGATGCTAATGCCAGATGACTTTAAGTCATACTCTAAGATCAGAGTGGACAACTACCTCTTCAACAAGTAAGTTTGCTTAAATATATCTGGTGCTATTTGATTATTAAATATCAATGATGTCTGTGGCTCTGAACTGCAAAATTAAGTTAATAAAGTAACAGTTAAATGCCATTTAGATGTTGTCAAACTGGCAATGTTTGTGGTATTTGCATATATTGGTTTGCTTTTGTACAGCCAAATATGCTGTCTTGTGTGCCAAGCATGATCAGTGCTAAATCAAGCCCCTTTTATTATCAAAGCCACCTAACCCCCCTTGGAATGATCCTAGATGGTCATTTGGCCCCTGGGCTATTTGACTTCAGGTACTAATCACAGCTCATGTGCACAAGATTTTACAACAGCTGTGCATACTCTTTTGTATTTGTCACAGAGGCCAATGTTCAGTAAAAGCTCCATTTTGAGGATGTAAGATTTAAGGTAAATGTGACATGAGAGATGAGGGGGATTGCTTCTGTGGCTTTGCGTAAGATTGGCCAGTCAGGAGCAGTGCTGCACTGGTAAAAATCGTGATTTGTGGGATGTTGGAGGGCAGAGTTCACATGGCTTGCAGGGCTGATGGCCGGCCATAATGAGTTCACCCATGTTTATCAAAGTACCTGCATTGTGCATATGTGGCAAGAAAGCAAGCAGATGCATATGAACTCTGACTCATGTGAGCCATACTAATAGTGGAAAATGATTTCCACTTTTCTTAATAATAACTGTAAAAGCTATCTTGTTTTGTTTTTCATGGAATTATGTCATTGCAGAAATCTTCAAAAATATGTATTATGGTGATATATTATCATGTACTCCATTTGCTTGTGCACAATTATGATGCTGATTTGTCTGACTGCCATAAGCATTCTTAACAAACATGGCTAGAATCGTGACATAGTAGTCATGGGCATGGCAGCCAGATAACTTGTCTGTGACTGCCGCAGGGAGAACATGCCCAGCCACTTCAAGGTCAAGGAGTACTGTCCGCTGGTCTTCAGGAATCTGCGCGAGAGGTTCAACATTCACGACCATGATTACATGCACTCCCTGACCAGGTAAGAGCAATGTAGCACAGTTTGGGTGCATGGTGTGCAGGGCATGGGACCAAACACTGATGCATTCAAGACTTTTCATTCTGATCTGCGGCTCATGTAACGCTGTGGTGTTTGGCATCGTGGTTGTTCGCCATTGGCAGCGGGATCGACCACATTGCGGTCAGGAGTAGGTGTTAGCACTCATTATAACAGTTGTAAGTGCAGCATTCCACAGCCGAGCCATCTTATTCCTGTGGATTTCCGTGGTAGGGAAGTTGGGCGCGTCTGTAGGAAATGCACTTGTGCAATGCGCGGTTTGTTTGACAAGTGACTCAAGAGAATAGGAATAACCAACTGACGCAGGAAGGGCCAAGTGATGAAGGTAAATGTCCTACAGGATTTAACCTCAGCGTGGGATTGCTGATATGGAAGAACTGCATGCCAATGCAGTTCTTGCATGCCTACATGCAGCTTCATGGTTGGAATAATTGTCCGGATTATCGTCCTCATCTGGTGTGCTAGCTTTTACGCAACATTGAGTACATGGCTGAAAACCAGACACCTTCCAGGCTCTCTGAGGACTCAGTAATACCTGGTGACGGCCGGAGAGTTAACCGGCTGAAAAACGCTAAATACTACCGTACGTAATCCAACAAAACACTAGCTGTACTGGAAGTGGTGGAAGTAAACTATTGTGGCTTTATTCACTAGCGTCATGAAACAAACGAATACAGCAGTCTACTCGTATTTTATTGCAAGCTATAAAATGAATGATGATGTGAAAATTTGGGGAAAAAATACACAACATAGAATGCTACTCTTCACTAGCTGTTGGTAGTGCGAAACATTAACAAATACCAGGGATGAACGGAGGCCCGGTCACGTTACTTAGCAGAAGTTTGTTCATGGGATGTGTGTTATCCGTCGCATTGTAGCACGACTTCAGCGTGATATGTGCTGCCCTGCTGTTGCTATCATGTTGTAGTCTCAGTCCAGCTTAATTTGTGCTCTACGACGGTTCTTAGCGAATCTGTGAAAATCCGACTGACAAACAGTGTTTCGATTTGCCCAGATCATTTTCGCCGGCTTACGGTTCCACGGCCGACGTTTTGGAACGAAAATTCTGGAACGGGCCAGAAGCCCGCTTTCGCCCAAACATGGCTTATGGCTTTCGCTTGGGTCAATGCGCAGGTTTCACGGTTGGCATTTATGTCAGGTCAAGCAAGGTAAAATCCCCGCGTGTGCCGTCGGTGCCTGGCTTCAAATGCGCCGGAACTAAAGCTAGAATGGAGGCAAAGTTTGCGGCGATTTTGTTACAAGCGATAATGTTAGGCCATGAAATGTTTTTCCTTAATATTGACCTTAGATGACCAAGCACCTAACCATCTGTATCTACGAGTGTGCAAAGTTTGTATGGGGTGTGACGGCGACCTCCAGTCACCTTAATGAAAGTCTCAAGCGTTTATAGCATACATGATGTAACCGTCTTATACGCTTGCAATCACTGGGGATGAAAAGCTTAGGTGCACATAGCAAAGAAGGCGCCGTGGAGGCAGACTTTCGTATTTTGCGCAGCTTTGAGACCCTGAGATCATTGGTCAGTCACGTGACTGGGCAGGGCGTCGAAACTGCGCTGTTCAGGTGTTCAAGGCCAGAAGCTGAGCAAGTCTAATTTTGATTCTGATGTACTGAATGTTGCGGTATGTGCCTCGGAAATGCCGGAGCGATTGCACCCCTCCCCCTTCCATCCGTGCAGGTAAAAAGGATCGTAAAAGAGTGATAGTGTCCACAGCACGTGTGAAAAATCATGAATGCCGAAATGTCACGACATTTTTCAGCGCCATGATGTATTTATAGTGAAATGTTGGCGGGCGTTTAATAAAGGGCAGAGTGAAATGCAGGCGAGCGTTTCCCGGAGCAGGCATCCCGGATTATCGGGTAACAGTAGCGCGCGTTTGTCAGTTCAGGCGTGCGCAGCCGTGAGTCTCCTCATGCGGGCTCCGAAAACCCAAACATGTGTAAAAAGAGCCAGGGAGCCATGCCCAGCGGTCTCGTGGAGGCGTCGGGGAGGGTACATGTACGATCAACTCACTGCATCACCAGCTGCAATAATGCGTCATTGACGATAGCCATACTCGCTGGACTCAGGACGTGCTGAGTCACCAGCACGCGTCTCATGTGTCCGGGTGACTCACATTCTGCGATAAGGTCCGGAAATTCACAGAAGATACCACCAAGCTGCACTTGAATCTCGTGCAGTATTTCCACCAATGATGAAAACCCACAAGGTCTGTGTTTTGGTCAGCATCATCAGCTGAACTGGCGCTTACATCGACCGGCTTGTTTTCAGCAATCCGTTCGGTCGTTTGCGTGTATGTGGCGCGCCGTCGGACGAAGCGGAGCCTCCTGCATGATCGCGACCCGACATTGAGGTCATTGTGGTGTTCATGTGGCGCCTGTGACGGATCAGGGAGATGGTCAGGAGACGGGAGCACCTGTTTGGCCCCATACGTCGTCTGTGCCCTAAACATGGCCGGCCTCAGTGACGCGAGTGCGGTACACAGGTCCGAGGCTACGCCCATGGACTCGCCGGGCAAGTCTGGCGCCAAGTTCTACCAGTCGTACGACAAGCTGTACATCATCAAGGCCCTGACCAGCGAGGAGGTCGAGCTGATGCATTCATTCCTGAAGGAGTACCACCCGGTACGGCCGCTGTGTGGTCGCGGTGTCTGCAGAGATCTTCCGTGATCTCCGCACTGGTCGTGTTTGGCCCGCGAACCGCCGGATTTTCTGCGCCCGACATGACCGCCTCGCGCCCGGTTTGGCGCGACGTAAGCTCACACGCACTATTTTTGCTCCGTCGCTCGGCGCGGCGCACCCATTTGTATACCGTCAGTGTATGTCTCCGCCGGCGGTAAACGCAGGTGGTGCCGCTGAAGGCAGACGCCGGCGGCGGCGTCCTGTGTTTATGGCTCACCGCACTGGCCCGGCCGCCCTCGCGGGCCGCCGCTCGAGCGGCGGGCGGGGTGGCGGCTCCGTGTCGGCGCCGTCGGCCGCTCGCAGGCGTGCTCGGAGCCGGTGCCGGCGTCGGCGCGCTGACAGACGCGCCGGCCGTGTTCCAGTACATCGTGGAGAGGCACGGCAAGACGCTGCTGCCCCAGTACCTGGGCATGTACCGGTTCACGGTGGACGGCCTGGAGCACTACCTGGTCGTCATGAGGAACGTCTTCAGCAACCACCTGCCGCTGCACAAGTAGGCGTGACTGCACTCACTGGGAGAGGGGGTGGGGACAGGACAGCATCACCGGAGTGGAGTGGCGCTTTTCCCTGCGGTTGACCGCTTAGCATCGCCTGCACGGCGGAGGATAATCGGGCTGGCGGCGGCGACAACGGCAGGGAGGACGTGAGGACACTTAATCGACGTCCTCCAGTGCTGACGGTTATACTGGACTCCGAAGACGGTCGCTTACCGCCTGAGCGGCATCAGGGGTTATCATCCCATCTGACGTATATTCTGCGATGCTTGTCGTACCATATGTGCGCATTGTCTCCGGTGCGTTTTTCCTCTGGTGGTCGGTTCCTTGGCGCGCCGTGGACGTCGGATGCTTGCCGGGCGTCTTCGCTCGAACGCAGGCTGACCTTGGCTGGTTTGCCGCGGCGACTGAACCGACGCGCTCGAGGCCTTCTAGCCGCGTCGGACGAGGGCCCCAGGTCCTCCCATACGCTGTCTGACGGCCCCTGGCGCGCTTCCCGAGCCGTCGCGTCGCTCCACGCCCGCCGCGCGTATTGTGTGCTCGAAGAGCACTACATCTCTCGCGTTTACGCGCGGCGGCGGCTGACCGGCCGCTGCCGACCCGCCAGGAAGTACGACCTGAAGGGTTCCACGGTCGACCGGGATGCCACCACCAAGGAGCTGCGCAAGGAACTGCCTACGCTCAAGGACAACGACTTCGTCAAGGACGGCATGCACGTGGTGATCGGCGACCTGGCCAAGGATAAGCTGATGGACACGCTGTCCGCCGATGTCGCGGTGAGCACCGGCGCCTGGGGCGGGTCAGGCATCTGCTGACTTCGTCCCTGTTGTCTGTTTGATGGCTTACCCGTCCGTGACTGGAGTTTCGCCGGGCGGCGTGTAGTCTGCTTTGTCGGCACTTGATTTGCTCCATGTGCTCTCGAGCCGCTCTGAGGGTGGGTGCCAGCATTGTCTGGCGTTTGTGGTCACAATGGGCTCAAATTGCCTCTGTGTTTGCTGCCGCACTGTTGGACCGTGGTTGTGGGGCTTATGGCATTTGCGTTCCAAATGCCAGCCCTGGGCCGCAAGCACTCGAGCGCCAGCCCGTGTTTGCCTATTTGTCTGGTCTCGTGCCTCGTTTCCCGCTGTTGGACAGCTAATCGAGGAGACCGGACCATTTGGTGCATTAATTATCAGCTCGTGAGAGGCCCACCGAGCGTTTATATTGCTTGGCATGCGGTTTATTGGCGTTACCAGTGGATTTTCCCTTGACCACAATGCGTGACGCCATTTTTTGGGGTAACGTTTAAAGGTTCTACTAGCTGTATGGATCATTTCCGTCGGTCTGCTCAAGTTTGGATCCATAAGGTCGATCGATTTATCGTACTTGGTAAACATTACGGTGGTATTAGACATCCCGAGTGGTGTTGTGCATGCAGAGGATGATTACCCACCAGCACCGAATGGCTGGCCCGCCTGGTTGGTGCTCCATTCCCGCGGGCCGTGCCATGTCACGATTGGAGCGTAATTGCTCCTTCTCAAGCTGCCCCTTAGTGGTATAGCACGGCTTACCCGGCAGTTTCTCAACCGTCTCCAGGTGGCATTCTTCGCTCCTGCTGAGGTTGTGACCACGGCCCTCCGCCCGCAGTTCCTTACCCGTCTCCAGCTGATGGACTACTCGCTCCTGCTGGGCGTGCACGACGTGGAGCGGCACGAGCGCGAGCGGCAAGACGAGTCGCGTGAGCCGGATGAAGAGGGCGCGCTGGTGGAGGAGGAGGACGACTCGTGCGGCTCGGGCTGCGCGCCCGGCGGCGGCCCGTCCAGCGTTCCCACGCCGCCCGACTCGCCGCAGATCGCCGACCGCCAGCGCCTCTGCTCGGACGACATCGACCCGCACAAGGATATCTACGCCATTCCGAGCAGCGAGGGTGAGGCGCGCCGCCGCCGGCGGCGGCCACAGCGGCATGCGGTGGGGAAGCCGGCGGGGACGGGCCTATGGCGGAGAAGCCTGGGGGAGGATGGGGAGGGGGGGGGGGGGAGTGAGGGTCTCTGCGCGGCGGAGAGGCTCGCCGCCGACCGGTCCGGGTGCCGACGACGGCAGGCGCCGCCCAGTGCGACAGGCAGCGAGCAGCTGGCGGCCGCGCAGTCGGTTGCGGTAGGCGGATACGTCTGCGCCGCAAACAACTGCGTTGATCACGTACACTGAGAAATCCGGTGGGTTTACCGAAATGCACGTTTGGTGTGCGTTTGCGCCTGGCGCAAACACGGGCGCGGGCGTTTGCCCACGTTTCTGGTCAAATTGTACACGCCATTTTAAATTGTTAACCTTCGTAATTTTTGTGACACCCTGCGTCTTTTGCGTTGAGAATATGAATCACACAAATATAAATCAAAGTATACAATTTCAGCGACCAGTGTGCAACTCCCGGTTTAAGAAACTTACTACTGAGCGCAGTCTAGAGAAGCGTCTGATCGTGAAAAAAATTCGCAATGTCGAGCGTGAGCCCCGACTACCGTTTGTACGACGTCGTAGGGGTCGCCCTCTGTAGCCCGTGTTCGCGCCGTGTGTCCCACAAGTTGTGACCGGTCTCTGGGCGTCCGCCGCAGGCGACGGCTCGACCAAGTTCATCTACTTCCTGGCCATCATCGACGTGCTCACGCACTACGGCGTGAAGAAGCAGGCGGCCAAGGCGGCCAAGACGGTCAAGTACGGCAGCGGCGTGGAGGGCATCTCCACGGTGGGGCCGGAGGTGTACGGCCGCCGCTTCCTCGAGTTCATGCAGCAGGCGATCGCGTAGGCGGCGGCGGCGCCGGCAGACCGATCTCAAAGAGTGCGGCGCGCCGGGACCGGCCCTAGTCAGGCCGCGCGTTCGCCGGCGGACTTGTGATACGGGGCGGGCCCGCTGGGTGGCGCTCAAGTCCGCTGTCCCCCCCCCCCCCCTCCCTGCCTCAGGCGGCGGCGCCCGGGCGGTCGCGGCGCCGCCCCCGCTGGCCACGTATTGTCGCCCTGGAGTAGACGCTTGCCCGCTTTTGTGATGTGCTCCGCGGCCGTCACGGCGCAGACGCGCCCCCGTGCGTGGTTAGTGCGCGCGGTGTGCGGGTGTCGGCGACCGGACTCCGGAGGCGGCGGCGGTGTGGCCTGTGGTCTGCGCCCGACTCCAGCCGCCTTCGGGAGCCGAGCGCCGCCGAGACCGCAGGGGCTTGGTCTGAAGGTGTCATGTGTTAGGCAGAGTGTGTGCGGACGCGCTGACGTTGGCCGAAGAGCGGCTAGAGGGAGGGCCGAGGTGCGGAGCCTGGCTCAGCCCGGCCTAACTTGACGGCCGAGTCCGTACCTCGACCACCCCAGCCGCCATTCCCGCTTCTGCCCCCGCCAGTCAGTGGGTCGTATTGCCCGGTCGGGTGAGCCTGCCGTGTTGCGCGCGGTGCCCTGGCCCATGCCGCAGCCATGTCGACCACCCTCGCAGTCGTTTCTTGCCGCGCGCGGCCCGCCGGGGGGCAGGCACGTGCCTGGGCGGTGGCCGAGGCCATGTTCGCAGTGCCGTGCCCGATCGCTCGACGCCCAGCTACTCAGAGGGCCTGGAGACGCCGGAGCGGCGCGCTCCGCCCCGCCACGTCACCAGAGCGGGCGGCGGAGGCGCGGCGGATGGCCGCTGCCCTTCGGAAGCTCCCCCTCCCCGGCGGCGCGGAATGCTCGCGGACGGGACCCGCCAGCCAGGGCCGGCCAAAGCTGCTCGTCTCATGCTTTGTTAGCCCATTATCGTAATCATCTCGTACGCAATAGATGGGTTAGCGCAGAGCAGTGTTCTTGCTTCGTTGACCGCCTTGTAGCAAGCGGACCAAACTGCTCCGTTGGCCTGCTTGCCCGTGTGTCCGCTTATCAGGTGTACCGCTCCCGGGCGCGGTACAAGTGGCGGCCATATTTCCGTTCCGCATTTGTATTGCAGATGGGTGTGGTAAGCACATCAGTCAAATGAGGGTGCTTCAGGTAGGAATTACACCGTTTTTGTGCGAAAATATATGGCTTATGGGAAACTTAGACCGACAATTTGTGAATGGACTTTGAAGAGGTTTCACGCACACAGGTAAGGAGGAGGAATACTGGTCAGTGATCAAGCAACGAAGCTTTAAGTTTGGATACAGAGGAAGGCGATGTTAACGGCAATGACGCTAGATGTATCTATTCACACCGTTTGCGTTTACCGGCCACCACTTCTGCGTCTGCGTCATCGCTTTCTTCTTCGGATGACTCCTCTTCTGTGCGATAGTCCTCGCAGCTATCATCATCCTTGTATTTGGCCTCCAAGTAGTCAAGGAATTGAGCGAAGTTCTGTGCCCGTCTGTTTGCCATTGTTCCCATGTCTTGCCGTATCCGTTTTGCTTCCAGAGCTTCGTCATTTGCTTTTCTTTTACGGCTTTCTTTCGCTTGCGAGTCGTCCCTCACAAATCGTTGGAATTCGGGGACAGCCTTACACTCGATCATGTCTCCAATGATTTGTCGAATGCGGGGCTCGTCAGCGACTGTCGTGCACATGACATGCTCGAGAATATAGTCCATGCTGCCACAACCCTTCAGGTATGCTTCTTTTATGGCCCTCTTTTCGTCACTAGAATTTCTGTAACGTTGTGCGAAATTATCAATGGCATCAGTTGTGATGCCAGATCGAAGTTGCCAACTGTTAGCACTAGGCCCAGGATTTTTGTCCATTACTTCTGTCCCGAACTTCGTCGGTATTAGTATAAAGAAACTAAAATTTACTACGTTTAACTTCACACCCTGCAATTTGGTACCCCTAAATGTACAGCACTTTGGCTTTGAAAAATTCGCGCAATATTTTATGGGCTAAGAAAAACGCATTCGCGTGCTGGTCACGCTCTTCCGTTGTTCTGAAACCCTCGCTTTCGGAATCATGCTGTATGTAGCCGAGGCTGTGTGATAGTAAGAATTGTCAGGGCCGTGTTATAACTAGAAACTCAACGTTAGTTATGCAACCCTCTCTCGTCTTATTCATTACGTCTTGCGGAACTTTAGAAATTGTCGCCGCTCCAGCCTTTTAATCCAGGAGTAGCGGGATTCCTGAGGTGAAAGGTCCGTGCTGTATGTGGATAGCAGTAGTGCTACGCAAAATCACATTTATTTCGTTACGGATGAACAGTTTTTGATCTAAACATGGTGTGAAGTACAGCAAACAGGCTTTTTAAACGAAGAACAAACAGGTGCGGGGACGGCTCTCCTGCTCCTGGCTCTTACACGGGTGCAGACTATACTTGTGAATGGTTACGTAAGCATACACTTGGCCTAGCCTGCAAATTTCGCGCCCCCGTCAATACCTTCTGGTCTTGGCTCCAGCGATGGTCGCGTATCTGACGACACACACATCAGACGGAGAGTGACGTCCCACTTCCCTCGCGGGTCCAGACGGGGACCAAAAACAAGCGCTGGGGACGCCGCCACGGGGGCGTCAGCGCCGGCTGCGGCCCCACCGACGAGAACTAAGGATAGGCGGACGCCAGGTCTCGGCGGGACGAGATTACCACCAGCTGGTCAGGTCGCCGTAATGGTTCAAACGTCGCACTGATACCGTTTCGGAATCAGCGGCGACGAGTGCCCTCAAAAGACCAGACAAGGCCATGGGGCAGCGTGACGCTCCTGGACGATGCCTCCTGTTTGGCTAAAGAGATGACGAGCGCCTTCGACAGGAAGCCCACATTAAAGCCTCCTGGTCGTTTTCTCGCCGATGCACCTGCTTTGCCACAAGAGACGGCGCGTAACCTCGAGTCCATGAAGCACATGGATACCGCGGGTGGATTGGTCGTAGTGCGGGCCAGGTTTGCATATTCGGCGACTCATCACGGCAAGGGCCGGAGCGAATCAAACTTTTCTGATGGCGGGACTTTAAATCGCGGAGCAAGGGGAGAACATTGGATTAGAACAGACAGCTCAGTCGGGGCAGCACAACCGGATAGCAAGCAGTGTGGCAGCAAATGTGCAAGAAGAAGGCGGCGGAAGAGCTGAGCATGTGGCCCGAGGCGGTGCGGGCAGAGAGCACACATGGGCGTGGAGCTGCAGCCGTCCGACACCGGAGCACGGCCACGAGCCAACAGCCCCTCCTCGCACCATGCCGTGTGCGGCTGTCTCCTGAGCACCCCCCCCCCCCCCCCCATTTCGGCAATGACCGTGTGCGCGATGGACAGCTTAGGAAGGAGTGTCCTCTGGTGCAGGCCGCGCAGTTAGTTACTTTGACTTTGCTCAAATGTCAAAAGTCGTCGTCCTCAAGAACGCCCTCGTCTACATAGTGTTCCCGTCTGATGGCGGAGCTTTTGACTCACTTGTTCATGCTATGTAGCAAAATGAGACGTAAGCGAGCGCCTGAACGCGTGACCTTGATGGCTGTACAAGAGAGCTTGACCAGGCTGACCAGACCGACGATGGACGGATGTCGTCCGGCTTCTACCTTGATCTCATGTCGTTGATTTGCGCAGTTGAGGAGGGGGATCACAAAGCTTCTCAGGAAGCTCGGAAGAAGTGCATTGAGGTGACTGATGCAGGGTAACGGCAGGGTGAGATGTGTTCGTAAATCGCAATGCGAAAAGACTAAATTTTCCCGATTCACTGCGGTCAACCGACTGAATGGAACCAGCCTAAGTCATGCATCGACGTGAAATTGCCATCGTTTGTACAGCGAGTGAGGAAGCCAGCCTACCTCTCGGAATGGGATTCATCTCGTCGTTCGTCTTTTAACCTCCACATTTAGCGAAAGTTGCGAGACATGTCCCTGTTTGCCCACCAGCTAGCCAATTTTTGAACCCATGGCGTTGCCGAAGGTACAAAATGCGCGTTGCAATGCGGGATCACCCCATGCATATTTTTTTTTTAGTGGCCGCCTGCAGTGTGCACTTAGTTCGATGTAAATTGGCTGCGACATCCTGGGTGCGGTGGTAGATCCGGCGCACTGGGTAATATGAAGCCAGGGAGCGTCCAGCAGCCTTGCGTCACTTGCAGTGACGTGGGCATGGTATGTATCTACCGCGCAGTTGCATTCAGTCCACCAAATTACTGAACAGTTCCCACTGCGCGCCCTGCCGAAATGACGGCTACACTAGCCATGTAATAAATGCAGTAGACAGGAGCAAGAGCAATAACATCCAAATGACACGATTTAACTAGTACGGATACCGTGCATGGGGAGCCACACTGCAATTCTGCCCTTGCGCAGATGCATGTTTGAGAGGTAGCGTGACCCGAAAGACTTGCCATTGATTTTGGTAGCAAAGGAGTCGCCGACTCGTTTTTCGGCCCCTCGCCGGACTCCAGGCTTGAAAAGACAACGGTTTTACTGGGGCCAGGTACCAGTTCGGACTATCCGGGGTGCGGGGTCATGTTTCGCACAGCGGTAACTGGGCCCATCTGTTGGTGACCAACGCTTTGGGAGAGGTTGGGGCACATTCCGTCCTCTTCCGACGAGGCGTACACCGGGCCCTGAAACCTCTTGATCACGGGCTGTTCGGAGCGGATAGAGATATCGTCGTCGGCGCTGAATGGAAGGGCAGCGGGGGGGGGGGGGGGGGGAGGGCAAGTCGTACAGGCCGGCCACGGCGAGTTTCCATACCGCACCAGCTGGGAGACACTGTAAGGCGAAAGCGCAAGTCACGCCGGGTGCTTGCCGTCTGCCAACGGACTTCACCGCCCCTTGGCCGTGCTGCCTCCTGTTTCCAGGCCCGTAAGGGACGCATCATGGGGCGGCGCCGCGTAAAAGTTAATCCGGCAGGTGGCAGCCTGGGCGCAAAAGCGCCGGAGGCAATGTGTTGTGCTGGGCGGGGCACCGCGGAATGCGCAGGCGCAATGGCGGGTGCTGCAAGCATAGGGCGTGGCTGAGGGAGCCGAGGGCGGATCCGTCGTGGACGAGGGGTGAGTGAACGTCGTCCAAATAGTCTTCACCCTGGACGTCAGGCGAGGGAGCGAGTCGTCGTCCAGCATAGGTGCACCGGTTACCGACCCAGTAGCCGCACCAACACCGCGCTGGCAGCGAACTGGCCTGATATGCTTTACATAGGACACAAACATAACTTACGATGTTAAAGAGTGATTTGAATAGCAGTGAGTGGTTCCTTGAGGGCACACAAATGTGTGATTGCATCGCAGAGGCGTGGGAAGAGAGAGTGACAATGCTAACTAGAAGAACTGCCCAAATGCCAGTATCATATATCACAAAACACGTTTCGTAAGCAAAAGTTGCAAACAAGGCAAACTGAGCAAGAGCCACTTCCTTTTTGCAGATGCGTTGGTTCGAGCTGACGTACTGAGGGCATGAATAAATCTATTTTCATATTTGCCTTGATCTTCGACAAAAGAATTTGGCTACTGAGGGGGCAGGATTCGTATGACGTTTTCATGACACCATACATCCTTGGGCGATTTCAAATCAGGCGAAGCGAGATAGTCTGCACAAGTTCGTGTGCGATTTGGAAGCAAATGTGGAACAGCTCCTTTAAGGACGATGGGTCTCCCAGGGTTAACATCCAGCGGAGCCCTGGCCAGTACAATCGCGGTTCCGCGGGATGCTGACCGCTCTAGGCATGTGTACCAGGAGCTCAAGGCTTAAATCTCCTCGATGCATTTGGGTCCGCTTCTGCCACGTTAAGATATTATTACCAGGCAAAACGGCGGGGTTGGATATAGTGGTCAAGGGCGCACAGCCGTACACGGGAAGACTCTCCCCCGTGGGTATGTTGCTCCCGCGTGGCTCCCTTGTAATGCTGTTTTCGGCTTGGCCGGATCCTCACGTGCCAGGGCGGACGGTGGTTAAAACAAAATCTTCTCATATAGCTATGTTCTGCGAGAGAGGCGCACGCAAGAGGACCCCGACAAATGAGGGAAGCGCAGGAACGCGCAGCGACTGCTGGTGGCACTCATCCTTAGCGGACTGGGCACGCTAGGGACACCCAATTCCCCACAGATACGCAAAATTTAAGCAGCAGACCACTCACTTCACCCCAAAACTGCGAAGGGTTAAGTGCTCGACGGCACATACCACAGCT